GTAGAGATAGTAGGGGGCGACGGAATGACTCCTCGTTCCAAACTGAAAAAGTCAATGGCGGATAGCCATGCTACACAGATCCCTTCGAGCCCTGCTTGACGAAGCCCCTCAACGAACCCGCAAAGGCTTACGATACCACTGGGGACTCTTCAAGTCTAAATTGTTCAGGCCTTGGGGTTAAGGGCTTGAAACAAATAACCCTAAACCCTAAACAAACAACCCTAAACCCTAAACAAATAACCCTAAACCCTAGAGAAGTAACCTTGTTTCGAACCCTGATACTCTGGGTGCCTTGGACCCCCTGAGAGCCCTAGAAAACCATCTTACCAACTTTCTATGATCCGCTAAAAAGGGCCCTAAGAATTGATACAAGGGTTTAGGGTTTAGGGTTTCCCTAAGCATTGATATAAGGGCCTCTAACTGTAAAAACGGCCCTAACAAACTCTACACAGCCTCGAAGCGCCAAGACGTGCCGCGAAGGATTTGCATTCGACACCTCGCGGACTATGTCTTCGACCTGGGCGACGAGCAAGACTACGAGGCCTGCCACGACAAAGCCCCCAAATGCAGAGGCCTTATCCTAAGGGTCCAAAGGACCTAATAATTCGGTACTTGGGTTTAGGATGGGATACCTTGACAAACTATTCCGGCTTCTAAACCCTAAACCCTATGCCCTAAACCCTAAACACCATAAACCCTATACTAGCCGACATGGCAGTCCTCTCGGCTTTTGCATTCTGGGAAGCAGGGTTTAGGCGTTGCGACAGGGAGCCCTAGAAGCTCTTACCCCTAAAGAGGCTCCAACCCCTAAACCCTTTCAGCCGTAAACCGTAGATTCTAGTCCTACACCCTAGACCCTAAACCCTCAATCCTAAACCGAAACCCTAAACCCTATTGCGTCGGGAAGGTGACAGTTGGCTCGTTTCGTTTCTTCAGCAGGTCCTGTGGTAAGCCCCTGCATCTTCGAAGCCTTTATAATTGCCTATGCTGTTTTGGTGGGTTTCTTCTTATAATTATAGTATAATGGGACCTAAAGCCCTATTCTAATAATTGAGGCCCCTACATTACCATGACCGACTTTATTGCAGGGTTTCTAGAAGTTCTATACTATGGAGTATTTCACCACATTTAAGAGCCAAAGTACTAGCCGAACCCACGAAACCCGAAAAACTTAGATACTGCGAAGCACGCGGCCCGTGGCAGTCTCTATGTCACTAAGCTCAACCCCGCAAACCTTGCACCCTATACCCTAACACCATACACCCAAACCCTAAACCCTAAATTCTGAACCCCTACACTCCAAACGCTATCGCAGCCCGAAGCCCTCACTCAGCCGCCCTAAACCCACAAAGCCCGAACCCCTACTCTCCAGAGCCCTAAGCCCTCGTTCGCCCTAATATATGGGCCGAAATAATTACCTATACTATTTTGGAGGGGTTCCTTATTATAACTATACTATAAGGGCCCCAAAGCCCTATTCTTATTATTAAGGCCTCTACATTAAGACCTTCCATGCTTATGCTGTGAGTGGGCTTGTGGGTGGCTCAGGTTTCTGTTCCAAGGATTTCGAAGTAGAATTTTTGGATTGCGGGATTGGTTGCAGGACATCTAATATCCCTAAACCCTAAGCTCTAAACCAAAACCGACTAACGTCCAAAGGAATTTGGGTTCAGGGCTTTGCAGATGAATCGGACGTGCCTTTGGCAAGGACTTGGGGTGGACAGTGATGATTCTTCGAGGCCTTCTCACCACAGGCTAAGGGGTTTTAGGGGTTAGGGTTGGGAAGTGTGTTGGGTGTAGGATTTTAGAGCTTAGCTTAGGCTTTAGGGTTTTGGGGCGGTTCAGCTTGGGGTTTAAGATTCTTTAAGATTGTTTTGGCGTTAGGGCTTAGATGTCACTTGGTGCGTGGCGTTTCCCGCGTCACCATTCTTCACTACCAGCGCCAGCACCATGCACTTTGTCCCTGGCATCCCGGCGTCAGATGACGATGATGACCAGCCAGCGGTTGACTTAGATTGCTGCAGCAGGGCTGCCACTTGCGCAGGGCCCTGAGGCACGTCTGTCACTGGGTCCCTCACAACATGCGAAATTTGCCCAAGTCGCCCAATATCAGCAACCTGAGACGCGACTATGAGCACCGTGCTGACCGTGCTTCCGAACTGCCGGCCAGGGATGATGCATCGTTTGCAGAACTGTGTCCGATCTTTCCCCTAAACCCGACTTCCGCTTGTTGCTCGCGCTTTGATGCGAGTATGGGGTTTAGGGTTTGTTTTCGTTTTTTTCTGCCACCCCTTGAACTTGACAAGAAGGAATACCCTCAAATTATAGATCTGCAGCCAGTGGCAGGGCAAGCAAATCAACTTCAACGAAGTGTTGGCAGCGGTCCTGTGCTCAGTGGAAAGGGGATGTTGTGGCTTGATGAGGTGAGTGCTTGCAGCTGGGCGAGAGTTCTCTAGGCTCGGTGTTTGTCGGCATCTGCACAAGATCACAAGTCCATCCAACAAACCTAGATGATGTCACAACAGAGTTTCCTAAACAAAACTCCGACATTTCACAGCTGATTGCCATCTTGACAACGCCATTGACTTAAACTCCATGCCGCTGTCAATGTCATGTGTATAATGTGAGCCATAGACTAAACTGGCTAAACCCCCAAGTTTATTTAGAGAAAACGGAACCCTATCTAAAAGGCCAGCTGTTTCAACAAGCCCTGAGCGCATGAACAAGGGACGAGAATCTGTTCAACAGAGAAACCCTGAAGGCTGCCTAAGAAAACAGAGATATATTATACTGTAGAAGAGTAGAAACTGACACATCTTCTGCGTTAGGGTGCCTTTTTCCGGTAGACCATCGCATTACGCAAGTTCCTTTCCAACTTCGTCAGATCCCTACATTATATCCTGCCTTCCCAGGTTTCCAACGCAGGTGAAGTCGCAATCGGCTGGTCGAGGCCCTCTGCAAGCCTTGAGCCCTCAACGGTAAGCCTAAAGCCCTAAACCCCAAACCCTAAACCCCAAACCCCTAAACCCAAAACCCTAAACCCTAAAACGCAACCCAGCCAGCATCTTTGTTCCGCCGAGTGGGCCCTCATGTAGGAATTTACGGGGTTTAGGGTTCAGGGTTTCGGGTTTAGGGAATTCGGTTCAAACATACTATTGGTTTAGACGGGTGGTTTTGGTCGGGTTTTAGGCTTAGGCGGGCTCTATGAGGGTCTTATGTGCATGACTTGTAGGAATGTGTCGAGTTTTAGAATGCTCACAGCACATGTCGAAACATAAGTTGCAAAAGTTTTTGGGAGGTGTGTAGTAGATTGTGGCTTGGGAAGTTGATGGTTTATGTTGGGTTCAGGGTTCAGACTGTGAAAAAGTTTGCACAGGGTCCTACAGGAGTCTGGTGGGTCTTGTTCAAGAGGCTTTGCTATTTACGGTCGGGGTGCTCACTTTTCTTACATGAAGGTGTCATGGGGATCGCGTGCCAGACGGTACTGTAACGTTGAGTCCGCAACTGAGTGCTGCAAAGTTGGACATTTGCTTCAGGGCTGTCAGGGTGTCTTGCCTACTTGACTGCAAAGTCCACCAAAAGACTCGTTGTGTTAATACAGCTCGAGTTTACGCTGTCTCTGAAATACTGGCTAAGGTAGATATGATGACCATTCGGACCCTACTTTTTTGTCCAGATGAGCACGGCCTGAACGGGAAACTCCGGTTGTTTACATATCTGCATCACAATGAATCTCATTCCGCTACTCTGCATCAACAGGAATGCGATTTGTTGACCACATGTTACAAGTTTTTCGTTTCAATCCAGCGGTTGAGACATTCATGCATTTCTTGGGGGTACTGTTGATGCCTAATATAGGGGCCGAAATAATTACCAATACTATTTTGGTGGGTTCCTTACTATAACTATGGTCTAATGGGCCCCAAAACCCTATTCACTTATTAAGTCCCCTATATTATGTGCCCACCCTGCCTCTGGAATTGCAAAAGCCCTGCAAAACCGAGCTGTTGCGCATCTCCCCGTGAACTAAGGTTCCAAGGAAGGTCAGATAGGGGCCTTAATCATTACCTATACCATTTTGGGGGTTCCTACTATAATGAGTAGTATCATATACCCCAAAACCTTATTCTAATTATTACTATTATTATTATTATTCTAATTATTATAAGGCCCAAGGTTCTCAGAATTCTACTATAGCGGCCCTGGGCCCCAAGAATAACCCCAGAACAAGCCCAAAACAAACCCAAGGTATAGATATATGGGTAGTTCTCTAAATTAGGGTCCTTTTTTGAATCCCCAATATAGTATTGCACCCTTATAAAAAGGGACCCTAAAAGGGACCCTAATTTAGAGAACTACCCATATCCTCAGGTCAAAGCTCCCCGAACCCCAGATCCTTTTTTTTATCCCTAGGGCCGAAATCCTACACCGACAATATAACGCAAACCCTAAGCCCTGAGGCCTAAATCCTAAGCCTTATCATATGTAGGCTTACAACTACGCAAGGACCTTCGAGCATGTTCCCCCGACTGCAGGTCCGCGGAGGAGCTTGAGAAGAAGGAGTTGGACGCCGGGCAACCGATCCAGAGGGTGTATTACAGGGGCCTTTAATAATTAACTGTTCTAGTTTGGGGTCTTCCTGATTATAGTTATAGCATAATCCACCCCAAAACCCTATTCTAATTATTAAGGCCTCTGCATGAATGTACGAAGGGGTTTGAATGTGTCGAAATAGGCTTGGAGGAGTATAGCTTAGAAAGATTATAAAAGCCGGCGGGCCTATACGGGAATGCTGCTTGAAAACATTCAGACCGCTATAGTCGGCAGTTTCGGTGGTCTCCTTAGGAAGTGTTTGGAAGTGAGTATTCATGTAGAACCCTGAGGACTATGAAACAATTCTTGTGTGTCGGAATTCCGTGAGCCATTTTGTCTCGGGCCTGTCGACACGAGCCATGTTCTACTAGATCACTCTGCCTCTGCCATCGGCAGACACCTTAATTATGCACATGGATGGAAGACTTTCGCTGCTGGTGTCTTCGGCCTCCCTGCAAGTGCTGAAGGCCAGCACACTCAATAAACCCTAAACCCTAAACCCTAAACCCTAAACCCTGCCAGTGCTGAAGGCCAGGACACTCAATGCATGTGGCATGGGGGTCTTCTGCGGAATCCTCCACGCCGTCGGCCCCTGGTCTGTCCAGCAACAGAGTTTTTCTGAGAGATTGACGGTTTAGGGTTTAGGGTTTAGGTTGCTATGAGAGCTCTTATAAGGGCTACTGGAAAGGAAGCTATTGATCTTTTCGGGGTAGCAGCTTTGCACACTCCCTCACAGTTTCATACGCCCTAAACTGCTGAACCCTAGCTCTCTGCACCCTTCGCCCCAAAAAATGCTCAAACCTAAGCCCGTTTCCCAAAGCCCTAAGCTCCAAAATGCCGGAAGCCGTTCGAGTCTGATAGGTCCAGATCACATAGCCACCCTGGTCTCGTTCAGCACACTTCTGACGCCCTGGGCTGCTGCAAAAGTGGGAGCCGCTTGGGGATTGGGCCACTGCGCTGGCATTTTGGGAGTGGCACTCTTGGTGTAGCTGGGCGATGAAGGGTTTGGGGGCGGTGTTTTCGATTCAAAGTGTGCGGTTCGGTTTTCTTGAGCCGTTCGCACGGATCAACAAGGATCGTTTTGACTTTTCGTGATTTTTTTATGATATCCGCTTCGATACGAAAGGTGCTACATGTGAGTGACCCCTCCTCTTCCCGATAGCAAGAGAGGTACATGCTTGGAAATGTGATCCCCATGGAAAACTTGGAGAAGTACGGGGATTACGTGATCGGCGCTTCACTGATACTGGTTGCTGCATACTTCTTCTTGCAAGAGAGCCAACATTTGGTCGCTGATGCCGACGGCAACATCGTGGTCGCTGGCTGCGGGTGCGCCCATTCTCACCCAGCAACAGGTACCCATGCCCACCACCATGGCTGCTCTGACTCACATCATGTGGCTAGGTTGCAGTTTGCTTCGCGCCACCCTAGAAGTGAGTACCACATGCTTCATAGCCGAGGCAGCCATAGCTACAAGATGCTACAAGAGTACAGAAATAGAGAAATACCCAGGACTTAGTCGACATGTTTATCCCCATTCTGTTCAGTTGAATCTGGGACACTGGTTCTGAGCACCGAAACTCCCGATTCCTGAATTGCTAATCTTACAAAATTGAAAACCGCAGTCTCACAAACTCGAATTCACGAACCCGTGTGACACAGCAGAAGTCACACCTTTAGAAGTTTCAACCTTGTGTTTTGGTGACGACTACAAACCCCTCCAAAACCTAAATCACCCAAGGCAGAAGACGACTGCACAGAGGAAACGCCACTGATCATCCAGGCGATGTGAGATCCTTGACCATCAAACCCTCAAACCTTTAGCTCCAGTAATCTGAACCCCCTCCACCTTCCACTTAAACCCTAAGGCAATGTATCATCATGACATCGATGCTCTAAAGCCTTACAGCCCAACCGACCGGACTGTTTTGGTTTGGAGCTTAGGGAGTCGAAAAGTTGCTGTGCGATACATTTAGGGTTTGGGGTTTGAGGCATGCAATAGGATTTAGGGTTAAGAACTGATCAGCATAGGGCTTCGGATTAAAGTGTTTTGAGAGTGTAGGTCGTCAGAGCCTTCCCGGTTCCACTTCAAGCTGGGTGAATCCTCCGGCGCGTGATCGTGAGTGGCTTTCTCTTGTGATCCTGCTACTAGTCATGTTATAACATTACAGCCATGTCCCTGTTCCCCTACGGAGGGTGCTGCTGTCTCTGTGATTTAATCCAAGTGTCCCTTGTGTTCCACGATGCTGCTGCTGTTTGCTTTGTTACTCTGGTCTTTACCCAGTCCGCGTGCTTGTTTAAATTTTCTGAATAGAATTGCAGAATGCAGCATGTGTGCTGTTGAGTAAGCTGGAATCGTAGAGGGGTTTCGGATAACCAACTGTAAAGTATGACAATGTCATCTTGGTAATAGCAACTTCAGCACAGAAGAAACCCTGAAGAAGGGACCCATGATGTTCTAACCCTAAACCCTAAACCCTAAACCCTAAACCCTAAACTTCTGACTCCTGCCACTCCCTGTAGATGTGGGTCGCAGAAGACTGTATCGAGCGGCGACCTTTGCGGGCCTTTGTACTTCATAGGGTTTAGGGTTTAGGGTTTAGGGTTTAGGGTTTATGTATGGTTCTGTCACGGAGTTCCTGAAGTTTCTGAACATTCAGATCATTGCCAGGTGGAAGATGTTCACGATGCGAAGGGCAGGGACACCAAAGGTGCTATCGTGGGCTTTGTGCAAGGGCCCTTTGGCAGCAACGCTGGGAGGGCTTGGGGAGATAAGCCTTTGGACACCTTAAGCCCCTAAAACCCTAAAGGCCCTAAAGCCTAAACCCTAAACCCAGAACCCAGACCCAAGCGCTTTTGTGTGGTTCTGGGTGCTGGCAAGCCCAAAACCTTAAGCAAGATCAGGATCCATCTGTCGTTTTGGGCATATCCCTCATTCAAGGACCCCTAACCCTAAACCCCTAAACCCTAAACCCCAAAACCCTAAGCCCCTAAACCCTAAACCCGAAACCCTAAAACTAACCCTAACCCCAAAACCTAGACTCTGAAAGGTTGGGTTGTCATGGTGCTCAGGAGTTGGGTTGTGTTGAGCCCCAAGCAGGTGCATAGAGGGCTTCCTGTAAATCGAGCTTCCTTTTTGAGTGTCTTCAGCAGCAGTCCCCGACACGCGGCTAAGCCCAGTAATATAGGGGCTTAAAGAATGACCAATAGGGGTTCCTTATTCTAATTGTACTATAACGGGCCCCAAACCCCCTGCTAATTATTGAGGCCCCGTCCGTTAGTTCCTCCAGACGTCTCATTCCTTCAGGATCCCTAAACCCTAAACCCTAAACCTAAACCCCTAAACCCTTAACCCTTAAACCCTAAACCCCTAACCGCTAAACCCTACCCCTACACCCCTAAACCCTAAACCCTATACCAGGATCGTAGTTCAGAAGCGCGACCGTAAGATCAGGATGTGCTGCCCCATGGGCCTGGTACAGCTGTGCCTCGGCGTAGTACGAATTAAGGGTTTAGGGTTTAGGGTTTAGGGCTGAGGGTTGAGGGTTTAGGGTCTAGGGTTCAAGGTTTAGGGTTTAGGGGTTTGGGGTTTAGGGTTTAGGGTTTAGGGAATCATGGTTGAAACTGTTCCGGCTTGGTACGCTTTGGGCGATCGGTGTGGGGGTCTAGTTCCGGGTTACGGACAACCCCTTAAAGCTAAATCCTCAAGACCGCGACGGTAGACTCGACGGCGCCCTAAACCCTAAACTCTAAACCCTAAACCTTAAACCCTAAACCCTAAACCCTGAACCGAAACCCTAAACCCTAAACTCTAAACCCTACTTCTGGGATCCTTGCCAGACTAGGCTCGCAGGAACCCGTAAACCCTGAACCCTAAAACTGAGCCCCGGGCCTGGGGGTGGAAGAGTTTTGGGGGGCTTACTATAGGGGCCTTAATAATTCGAATAGGGTTCGGGGGTATATTCTACTATAATTTTAATGAGGAACACCCCAAAGCCCTATTCTAATTATTAAGGCCCCTACACCCTAAACCCTTATAGTAGCCCTTTTAGAATCCCTGTAGGGAACCCTTTAAAGGAACCCCCAAAGCCCTATTCTGACTATGAAGGCCCCTCTTTTTAAGGCTCTCCCGGACCTAAACCCTAAACCCTAAACCCTAAACCCTAAATCCTAAACCCTAAATCCTAAACCCTAAACCCTAAACCTCAGCCTCCAAGGAGCTATCTTGCAGGACGCAGTGCATTGGACACCGTGGTCTTCTGCACCGCGGCTTCTATGGACATACCTCGTTGATGAGTTTAGGGTTTAGGCTTAAGGTTTGAGTTTTGTAAGGTTTAGGGTTCAAGTTCTATGAGGTTTTTGGTTTAGGGTTTAGGCTTAAATCTTTCTAAGCTTTAAAAGCTTTAGGGTTTATTAGGTTTGGGGTTTAGGGTCAGAGGAGGGGGGATGGGGAGTGGAGGGTTCTGGGTTGTTTGGGATTTTGTTGGGTTTTGGGGTTTAGGGTTTCGGGTGTAGGGCTTAGGCTTCTTCAGGGGTGGAGGGTTCAAGCTTCGGGGTTGATGGGTTTGGGGTTTAGAGTTGATTTTTGATGAGGTCCCTAAACCCTAAACCCTGCTGATGAGTTTTCGGGTTAGGGTTCATGGGCCTAGAGTTTAGAGTTGAGGGTTCGAGTGTCTGTTGCCTTAGGCTTCGAAGTTTTAGGTCCTAAGCCTGGGGTTTGGATTAGAGATGGCGTTGGGTTGAGGGTTTAGGGTAAGTTTAAGGTTTAGGGATTAGGGCCTGATTAGTTTAGGGATTAGGGTTTATAGGGTTTCGGGTCTAGGGTTTAAGGTTAAGGGTTAGGGTTTAGGGTTTAGGTTTAGGGCTTCGGTTTAGGGTTTAGGGTCTGGGGGACGTCAGGAGTAGGATGGGAACCTTTGAGGCTGGATGTTGGGGGGTCCATCTCAGTATGGCTCCCTTCAGCTAAACCCCAAACCCTCAACCCGAAAACCCGCGAAGCCGCAAGAAAAGGCTAGGGCTATGTCGGCTGCCCTAAACCCTAAACCCTAAGCCCCTAAACCCTAGATCCTTAAGCCCTAAAGCCTAAACCCAAAGCCCCCAAGCCCTAAACCCTTAAGCCCTAAACCCCAAGCCCAAAGCCCCCAAACCTCTCCCAACCCTTAAATCCCCGAGCCCTAACGCCCTTATCCCCAAAGTCCCGAAACCGAACCCCCAGAAACCCCCAAAACACTTTAATGATTCGAATAGGGATTTGGGGGTATGATATACTATATTCAGCTTGAATAATAAGAAACCACCCCAAAAAATCGGTAATTATTAAGGCCCCTAAAAGAGCCCCAACATCCCAACCCCTAAATCTTGAAGCCCTAACCCTCAGACCTGCACATCTCAAGCCATAGCCCGAAAGTCTCCAAAGAAGCCGAGGCTTCGTGACAGTCCTGGTCTCCGTCCTAGGCACTGCTCTCTTGGCTGCAGGCTTCTTGGTTCATGAAGTAGGGTCTAGGGCTTAGGGTCCAGGGCTTAGGAGTTTAGGGTTTAGGGGTTTGGGGTTCATGGGTTAGGGTCCAGGGCTTAGGAGTTTAGGGTTTAGGGGTTTGGGGTTCATGGGGGTCCAGGGCTTAGGGTTAGAGTAGAGTGCTTAGGGTTTAAAGACTGCGGGAAGCTTAAGATGGTTGGTTTGGGCTTAGACTTGAGGTTTGGGTTTGCGATGTGACGATCCAGGATTGATCCCTTCTAGCTTTCATACTGCTTGCCGGATCGTCTACAGGTTTCATATGCAGGGCATACCTAAACCCTAAACCCTAAACCCTTCGTGGTATACGCTTGGTAGGATGTTGCAGATTGAAAGGCTTGTGGGCGAGGGCCCAGGCGAGACTTTGGGTTTAGGGTTTAGGGTTTAGGGTTTAGGGGGTACTGAGAGCCCGAAGTCGGGGTCATAGTCTTGGGAGATGGAAGATACATGAAAGTTCTCTCAAGTACGGACAACGTGAGTACTTGGCTCTTTCATCATCCGGTTGCATGACGGTGACTCCTTCATACATGCTATCGGGGCAGAATGCTTGCAGCACTTTCTTGTCGTCTGATTCCTGCTTCTCGCCGATCTTCCCATTATCGGATTCAGGGTTCAGGATTTTTGGTTTCAGGGTTTAGGGCTCAGAGGGTTAATAAACCCTAAACCCTAAACCCTAAACCCAAACCTAACAAAATCTGGAAAGCCCAAGCCTGTTGGCCGACAAGGTTGGGCAGCGCTCACACGAAGCGAGTTGCTCAAGTCTGTCAGCCCGGTCTTCATGCGAGCAGACTGAAGATGGCAAAAGTCTCGGGGTTTGGAACCAAAACACAGCATAGCGGTGAGGCGGTGATAAGAGATTCCGTGTGATTGCAGTAGTGGAAGGTATTACCACAACAGTGACAGCAATGACAATCGCGGCACGAGTAATATTACTCATCATCATAGTGAAGACAGATGTAGCGTCATTAGAAGCACTGAAATGACCGTTGAGGTAGAGTAATCAAGAACTGCTTCACAATGCTAGCAGAGAACAGTGACCCTAAATCCCAGAACCCTAAACTCCACACCCTAACCTACGCTCTAATTAGATAAGGAACCTTGAGCCGTGCGGACAGAAAGAGTGTAGCGATGGCAAAGTTTTCGGGTCCGAAACCCTAAACCCTAAACCCCCTTATGGGGCTCGAAGTTTTTGGGGCTATTCTTGGCCAAATAAAGGTAAGGGAAGAAGAGTTGGGAAGTTTTCGGGTTTTCGTGTTTAGGGTCTAGGGTTT